TAGACATTGGTTGTAAGAGGGCCGGGGGTGATGCTTGCTTCCATGAAGAGCAAGTGTGCATGTGAGCTTTAGCATAGACATTGGTTGTAAGCACAAAAATAGATTCCCGGGTTATTAAGACATGAGTAATACAAGATATATTTCCATACGATCTTATTATTACTCCCTTCGTCTCAAAATTCTTGTCTTAGATCTGTCTAAATACGGATGTATAAAGTCACATTTTAGTATTAGATACATCCGTATCTAGACTAATCTAAGACCAAAATAAAGTTTAAGAGAATAAGAGCATCTACAGTCGGACTTGGCAAAACCGGCCCCTCAAACGCGTACGCGGGCAGTGATCGAGCATGCCTCAAATTTCAGTAGTTGCATTCGGACATCTCATACTAGATTCTTAAATCCATACAAGGACATGCAAATGACATAACCTACTTACTAGATCGATCACCTAGCTACTCATCGTCGGAAATGTCAACGGTCCCCGTGCCCGGCTGCGGCAGCATGAGCAGAAGCTGCATCTTTGGCTCCTCCGGCGCCTCCGATCCGGCCTCCTCCACCTCTATCTCTACGTCGAGTTCGGCGAAGAGTGCATCAGACGCCGCCTGCTCCTGTCGGAGGAACACCCGGTTAGCCTCCACATAGCCTCATCCTGGATGGACTCCGGGATGGCCTGCTCCTCCGCCATCTCTTCCGATTGGGCGATGATGAACTCCTCCTCTGTCTGCTCCATGTTGAAGCCCGACAGCTCCTGCTCCGGCTGCTCTGCCTCCTCCACCTCCATTGGAGCCAACTCCTCTTCCTCCGGCTGCTCCTCCTCCTTCGGCTACGCGAGTCTGGAGGCAACCCAGAAGCGATGCAGGCGGCACGCATGGCTTGTCTTGCCCGGATGTTCTGTTGGATCTTGTACCAGTGCTCCTTCGTGAGCATTGCGTAGTAGGTGATCTTGCTCCGGACCATGGCGAAGCGCCGGAGCGGGAGAGGGAGGAGGTGGAAGGGCTCGGACTAGCGGCGCGGAGAGGGGGGTGGAAGGGCTAGGGTTGCGGGACGCCGACCGGGTTAAATACGGATTTGGTCTCGGGCGGCGAGCCGGAGCAGCGCCACGCGACGTTCACACCGCGGTGATGGAGGAGTCGTCTGTCGTACCGCCGGGTTTCCGAGCGAGTCCGCGTGGGAACCCTTCATCGGTACTATATGGTGGCGCGCCCGGGCGTCCCCATATCCGCCCCATATTTGGGCTATATATAAGGGGTGTCGGTCAGTCCGGGCATTTGATTCCCGTTTGAGGGGGTCGTCTAGGTCGAAAACTCGCGACCAGTCAGTGACCGGGCCGTCCGCCCGCACGTATGAGGCAGGTTTGGGATGCCCGGCTGTAGATGCTCTAAGATCCCTCCGTCGTTCATCACTAATGGAATGGTCTGCGAGCCAGCCTATGGTTGGATGGTTAGAGGGACAGTTGTATCCTCAGCCCACCAGGGTTTAAGTCCTGGTGCTCACAATATTTCTTGGATTTATTTCAGAATTTTTGATGATGCGCTTTCAGTGGGAGGAGACGTTTCCGTCGACGACTAGGCGCCTACAGTGACTTCGTAAATTTCAAGATGATATGCCGGCTCAGCCTCGCAGAGGGGTTGATAGGAGTAGGATGTGCGTGTATGCGTATGTGTTATGTTAGAAAAAAGTAATGGAATGGTCCTGCGTGCACTCCTCGTGCTAATACCTTGCTCAACGGCGTGAGCGAAATTTAATTCCAGCATCCGAGAAAACTAAACTAAACTCTGGTGACGATTGGCATCATGTGCTTGCACTAGTAGAAAACAGGGCTTTGGTCACAGCTCCCTGTACACATTAGTTTCGGTTGCATCACGAACCGGGATTAATGTGAGCATTAGTCCCGGTTCGAGCGGCGAAGGCGCCGAGAAGGCATTAGTCCCGATTCAAATGGAACCTTTAGTCCCAGTTTGAGACACGAACCGGAACTAAAGGGTGCGATGCCCTTTAGTCCCGGTTTGTGTCTCAAACCAGGACTAAAGGTCCCATTTTCAAACTCTACCCCCCCCCCCATCCAGCGCCTTTTCAGTTTTTAAAAAGCAAAAGAAAATGATAAAAACTTCAAAAATTAAAATCCTTTGAGCTGTAGTTATGTTACTACATCTATTAGTTAGGAAAATTAAAAGAACTTAAATTTGGACATGTTTTGCAAAAAAGTGTTATGAAAAAGTAAAACGGCCGTATCTTTTGCATACGATGTCAAAAAAACGCATAATATATCAAAAAAATCAGCACGAAAATCCGCATCCGCTTTTGACAACCGTAGGCTTGTTTGCAAATTTTTACAATCCTCAAATTATAAAAGGAAAAAAAGATATGCTCAAATTTCAGTTTTTTTTATTTTTGTTAAAGCTGGTCAAATTGTGGTCAAACTATGGTCAAACTACTTATTCAAGAAATATTAGTGTTAATAAATAATTATTTTTAGTTTTTTGACTTTTGGTCAAACTATGGTCAAACTATGGTCAAACTACTTATTCAAGAAATATTAGTGTTAATAAATAATTATTGTTTTTTAGAATAATAGTTTCAAACTCAAATGGTGCTTAATGCTCAAGTTCAACTCCTAAGGGTTAATAGGATTGACAGCCTAGTATTGTCAGGAAAACAATAAGTGCAGACTTGAAAACTAGGGGGAATAGAACTCGAAAGTTAAGTGAGCTTAGGCTGGAGTAGTGAGAGGATGGGTGACCGGTCAGGAAGTTAGACGATTTGAAATGAGTGGTTCATAATTGAGCAGTGATGAGGGATAATTAGAGTGGGTGATAGAGACTAATTTGTCAAATAATTCATAAATTTGAAAATAAAAAAATAAAAAAAAAGTCAAAAAAGTCAAAAAAAATCAGAAAAACAAATTTCAAAAAAAAATCCTTTAGTCCCGGTTGGCGTGTATCATCGGGAGGGAGGCATGAGAGGAATGTGTTGTAAGCATGATCGAGTCGCAAAAAGAACATGATAAAAGCTCTGATGAATTCTTTGGGGATCAGTGTGGAGGATCCGGCTGAACTTAAGGAGATGGTAACTGATTTTTATAAAAATCCTTACACATCAGAGGAAGTGACCAATGTAAATGCAGTTTTGAATCATGTACCTCGAAAAGTGTCTGCTGAGATGAATGATGTATTATGTGCTGATTGCACGGAGGAGGAGGTCAAAACGGCTTTGTTTCAGATGCTTCCCACTAAATCTCCAGGCCCGAACGGTTTTCCGGCTCATTTTTATCAGCGGCATTGGGAGGTGTGTGGTCAAGAGGTAACAAAGGTTGTACTTAGAATTGTTAGAGGAGAAGAAAGTCCGGAATGCATCAATGATACTTTCTTGGTGTTAATCCCAAAGGTAATGAATATGTCTTTGCTTTCACAATTCAGACTAATAAGCTTGTGTAATGTTCTGTAAAAGGTTGCTTCAAAGGTGATTGCAAACAGATTAAAGCAAATTTTACCAAATATAATTTCAGAAGAACAGTCAGCATTTGTCCCTGGCAGAATAATCACAGATAATATTATCACTGCTTATGAGTGTTTGCATTTTATGAAGAGGAGCAAGGCGAAGAACAATAGTCATTGTGCTTTGAAACTTGATATGATGAAGGCCTATGACATATTTGAATGGGGCTGCCTCAGAGCAATAATGGTCAAGTTGGGTTTTGATCAGCAATGGATTAGGGTGGTCATGAACATGGTCACTTCGGTTTTGTTTAATGGAAAACGATTGCAACAATTTAGACCCACGAGGGGTATCCGACAGGGAGATCCGATCTCCGCCTATCTCTTCTTGTTAGCAGCGGAGGGCCTTTCGTGCCTCTTAAAATCCGTTCCTCAGTCGTCAGCTTTTATGGGAGTTCAGGTGGCGCCGACAGCACCAGTTGTTAATCACTTGCTCTTTGCTGATGATAGCCTGCTGCTTTTCAAGGCCAGTAACGAGGGGGCAGTCGTCGTTTCAAACCTGCTAGAGACCTATTGCGGTGCGTCGGGGCAAAGAGTCAACAATGATAAATCCTCCATATTTTTCAGCAAGGGATGTCCCCAAGTGGTTCCGGATAGTATCAAGGACACCCTTCAAGTGCATGATGAACAGCTGAGTGACAGATATTTAGGCATGCCTACTGATGTGGGTCATGCTAGGAATGGGACTTTTAAATACTTGAAGGATAGAGTTTGGGGAAAAATCAAGGGGTGGATGGAGAAACTGTTATTATATGGAGGTAAGGAGGTGCTGATAAAGTCAGTTGCTCAAGCCATACCTGTATATTCTATGTCTTGTTTCAGATTACCGAGAGGTATTTGTGAAAGTATAACTTCAATGATACGACAGTTTTGGTGGGGCAGCAAAAGGAGGAAGAGGAAACCTTGCTGGGTGTCATGGGATGTATGCACTAAACCTAAACACTTGGGAGGACTTGGCTTTAGAGATATTGAGATCTTTAACTTGTCACTCCTGTCAAGGCAAGCTTGGAGAATATTACAATACCCAATGGCTTTGAGCTCCAGGATATTACGAGCGAAGTACTTTCCAGCATCATCTTTTCTGGAAGCTCAGCTAGGAGATAATCCATCGCAAATATGGAGAGCGATCATGGATGGAAGACAAGCTCTTGCACAAGGACTTATTAGGAGAATTGGGACAGGAGAGGATACAAAAATATGGGAGCATAATTGGATACCAAGGTCAGGGATGATGAGGCCAATAGCATCTCTGGTACAAGATAAACCAACTTTGGTTTCGGAGCTGATTGATAGATCGTCTGCATCTTGGCGAGAGGAAAAGGTCCGAGAAGTGTTTATACCT